GTACGTCGGGTACCCTCTGTACACACGCGGGGGAGTACCGGGTGGCCAGTCGTACGCCCCTCCACTTTGACAGAGTCACGGGCGGCATAAATCTCAGCGTTTTTATAGGCGGCGCGGCGTAGGGCACACCGAAAAACGCCTCCACTGGGGACAGGGAGGCCAGTAGTGTCGACGTGGCACTGGTAGGCGAGCGTAACGGTATGATTACGCCGCGAAGGGTACCGTATTTTGTCTGCACCTGCCGTGGACTGAGCGGTAGGTCCTGTATGTCATAGGTCGTCGACAGCACCGGTAGTAGTAGTGGTAGTAGTGTTAGCGCCGGTAGTATAGCTGTCATTATAATCCCGATTCTGATGGCTATTATACCGGAGATTCTATGTTCAAACGGCTCGATCACTGATGGCATGCCGTATGTGTGCTGTCTATGGACTGTCAGTCCTATTATTATTAGATAACAGTGCTCTCACTCACACACACACACACAGTAGTGATGGCTATCTGTCTGTCACTCACACACACTCATATAGGAACAGTATGTTTAGCCTACCGTTCCCTTAGCTATGAGTTTTGGCGATCAAATTAGAGGATTATAAGCGCCGGAAGTTTTGACGTCGCGTTGTGTTTACGGTATTTCATTGCTCTCTCCAAACAGCTCTCTCTCTCTCTCTCTCTCTCTCACTCACTTACTCACTCACACACAATTCATACCCAACTCAAATTAAATAAACAACCCACCACCAAACTCATTTGCAACACATAAAATAAAGTGGTAATAAATCTAAAAATAATCTAGTTAATTTTTGAACCAAATACACTCACCTCCACCGCCCGGCATCAGGTGTTTATTAGCGGCGTTGACAATAGCATCGACTTCGAGGGTAGTTATGTCGCCGACAAACACCGATATCTTATCACACAATGAGTCCATCGAGTCGTCCAATGAATCCTTTACTCCATTCGTTGATTGTCTCAGTGTTTGTATTGACGCCAATGTCATGTAGCTGTCGCCGCACTGGTATTCCCGTCGCTTCTCAGTCAATGACATCGATAGATAGCGAGCTGTCGGTGTCATTGAAAAGTTATTTAATTAATATAATTATTATATATTTAAACTTACCCCTCTCATCATTAAAAGCCATTGTATGCCTGACGAGTTTGTTGATTGATGCTAGTAGCATGTATTAATTTGCACAATTATAATATACTATTATAAAAGGTATTTGAAATAACTTTATAAATATAACTGTAGTGTATTTATATTGTAAACTTTGAACAGTATACAGTATGTGTTGATAATATTTCAAACATTTTAAACAATGTTATGTAAATAGTTTGTAAATTGATAGTTACATTTAAGTGATGTTGAACCTAGCACCCTTATACATTGAGTATATGGAAGCTATGTACACTTATTAAATTACTTTAATTTTAATACTTAACAAATTAATATTATATTAAACAACCTTAGCAGTCTAGTTAATTAAACCTGGTCACTAGAATATTATGGTAAAACTTTTATGATGTTACGTAAATATTATATATTGTATTATTATAAAAACTTAGGGGTTTCAAGTTTCCCTAGGTAACTATCGGATTTTATTTATAAAATATTTTATTAAACTTGTTTATGTAACTCGTTAATAATGAAATATTTTAGGAGTAAACAGATTGTTACCAAGGTGAACATGAAATGTCTAATATTAAATATTAAAAAACTAGTTCTATTTATTTTATTATTTTGAATTACTAGAAATATAATTTTTAATCACATAACATTTAGCCATAGTTATTATCACTTATATATTGTAATATTACAGTATTTTTAAAAGACCTTCATAAATATTGTATTAATCAGCTTAATTTATTATACTGTATTTCATGTTAACCTTGGTAATTATCTGATATTAATTAAAATATTTTAATTCATTTATATAATATACAGTATATTATCATATAATAGCAAATTATATGTTCAACATTAGTTTTTCGAGGTATTAATTATATTATAAGTATATCCTTTGTAAATTTAATGATTTTACTATACAAATAGTTAACATGAACATCTACAATTATACTGAACTTGCAATTTAGTTTTTAAAGATTATTTACTATTGATTTATATTTAAAATTTTTTATAAAAGACTAAATTGTAGGTACATCAAAATTTATTTGTGTATATTTACAGTATAAATATTAATAAATTACCATCTAGCTCATTTGCCTATAACCACAAATCACCATGCGAGTCTATCATTATTCTTCCCGTAAAAGCGCTGAACTCATACAAAAACAACGTATAATTAAGGCTGGAAATGGTATATACGGACGGGGTGTCTATTTGACCTCGTTGAGTCCAGCGAACAATCCCTTGATCATATTGCTCAACAATTACGATGATGGTGAGGCCATGTTAAAGAACCCGGCTTATATGCACAAGGCTGAGGTATGTTTCGCGTTTGACTCGGAGGATATAGGCGCTGAAAGGGTGGAGGAGTCCGATCGTGATATATGGCTAGTGAGGGATGATGATGTAAAATGGTGAATTTGTGGCATGGTACATATTTATTTTGAATGAATACGATTGTTTAGAATAGATTATGTTTTTAATAAAATAATTTACATGGGAACTATGTTTTTATTTCTATTTATTTTATTTTAAAAATGTGTACCAGGTAAATTCAAATTATATGTATTTTGTTTTAAATGAATGTAGATTTTATTTATAAACTTGCTAAAATTGATGTATTGCTAAGTTATTTGTTATTAAAAAACATATAAATTAATAAGTAGATATATTTTTTGTATTATATTATATTAGTCCGCAAACTCCACAGAATATTCTGTAGTATCCAAACCGCACGCATACAGGCGCTCGCAATGCTTACCATAACCGCTCTCGATGTGTATTCGCAGCACTGGTAGTCAGTGTTTGTAGGGCTCTGTGACCGACACATACGCACACAGACTGCCGGCGCTCTCATAGCAATCAATGCATTGATAACAGTGCAGACACTCGAAAATCGGTGTCTATTTTATGTGATTATTAATACCATTAATAATAATAACTCATAAAAAGTGTTGAAAACATTTTTATAATAATAATTCTTGTATAGAAAGTAAATATAAAATTAATATACTATTTGATTAACATTT